TCCCCCCCCCCCCAAAAAAAAAGTAAACCCAACACTATCGATGATCGAATATCAGCAGTCCTTTCCTCTCTCCATGTTTGTGTGTGTATGTGTTGTGATTCAACTGAACACAATACTCCTGTGTCTGTGCGTGTGTGTGCACTGGGCTGTGAACGTGAAAGCAAATAAGAAAACACCACATCATCATCAAATCATTGGGAGAAGAAAGGGACATTTAGTCTCCCCCCGCACACACACTCACTGAGGTCTGGAAATGCGATCGTTTGTGTTCGAACGTTCTGTCCACTTTGGGGTGCGAACAGATTGAACGCAGCTGTGCTCGAGTAGTTTGCGAATTCAACGGTTGGATCAGATTTCGGCTCCGAACTTTGTACCATTTTCTCCGTCAAACGATTAGGCTGATCAATATTGGGGATTATGAATTAGAGAGCTATTTCTGCATCACGTTTTTTTTCATTGCTTTCTTATAAGATCATATTTCTGGCATGTATAGAATGGTCATTTAGAAGCTATCGTTACATCACTTTTAGTCCGCAATCGTTCCGACCGAGTGTAATCCCAACTGTGCTTCGTCATTTTAGCAATCCAATCGATCAACATTTCTCTTGTCTTCCAGTTGTTGGACCTATGTTGGGAATGTAAAATGATTCAAGCAATTTTGAATATGTAACAATGTTCTGTTAATCACACTGTCCGATCCCGTACCACAAGCATACACATGGGTAATTGATTGTCCTCCTTCGCGCGTTGTACACATTCAAAGGTTTCTCACACACACACACACACCTCACTAACACAGCGTTGGTGGCTTTATTGTCACTCTGGGTAATTAATATCTCTATTCTACCTTATTGGTACCTCACGTAATTTATCAATCCAAGTTTATTGCCAGTGTCCACTGGTAATCAGTAGCTCCTCGTCGCTATGATTTTCATCTATTGTAATGCTTGTCACTGCATCTAGTCGCTCTGGTTTGCGAACGAACTCAGCATCACTTGTTGCATCCATGACATGCGTCCTCAGGAACGAACGCTTCCCACAATCACTACGACTTGCCATTCTTGTACAGTGCGAGGATTCTGATATTAGTGAGTGATTTTACTATCCGGTACGATTGTGGTCGGTACATCTCAGTCCCACGCGATTCTTGAACCCCAAAAGTAATTTGAGAACAACTGAACAATTCGTGTTTCTCTGATAAGCTTCAATATGTAAATTCATTAATCACATTTTATCCGTACAACTGTGTAATCGAAAAAGTATGGTATTCACTCATGAATTGTATTCGCTCGCAGCCTAGAGTCTCATTGATTCTAAAGTTGTTTGTTATCCAATCGGACGAAATCAGAAGCCTGTTGTATAGAAAAAAAACAAAACCATCGATCGGACAAAATTTGCATGAGATTGCCGATTGCGCTGCAAGCATAACTAGCGTCAGTTTTATTCACAGTGAGGCACAAAACCATCGGATTGCGTGATTTCACCCAACCCCACCCGCTCCGTTCGTTGTTGTCTGTCACAAGATACAGCACACACACACAGACAGAAGTTAGCTGAGTCTGGAATCCCCGGACAGAAAGTGCCCGTGTCAAGCATTTTTCTCCCTCGCTTTTCGGGCTACAATATAATAGAGAGAAAAAGATCCACGCCTCCTGGCTCTGTGCTTTGCTGCGATTCGGTTCGATGAGTGCCAAATACTCCTATCTGTCGAACAATCGACAGTGACCAAACAATGCTTGTCGGATTGATTGATATCTTCCCCTCACTCGATTGTTTTCACCTTGGCGTATCACGATTGTGTGTGTGTGTGTGTGTGTGTGTGTTTGTGAAGAGCCAATGGTCTCCATTGAGAAGACGTTCGTTTTTCTTTGTGTCGCGATCCAAAACAACCTGAACACTAAACCCCACTCAACGAACAGTTTGAGGGAGTAGTGGTCAAGTTGCGAATTCATCACCACAAAGGCACAACATTTTTCGGGCCGAGTAAGTGTGTTAGTCCCGTTTACTTCAGTGCTTTAAATTTCTCTCAGACACCAG